TATATTACAGCCTAATATATCTGTATCTTACTTATTGCAATATTGTATGGGCCAGCACTTTCCAAACATATCTTCATAAAATTCTATTACTCCAGAAACGTTTTGTCAGAATGGCAACTTTTTCCAAGTCCTGTGATGCAACCTCCCCTCTTTTTCTGAAGTGTAACATATTGACAATCTTTGATATCAATACTCTTCAAATAAGTAGCTTTATTTTAAAGAGTGCAAACTTGCCAGAAAGCTTTGAAGCATTTTTCATTTTTAATTCTCAAGTGAACTATTACTCAACTAGACAAATCCATAACCTATACCTACCAATGTGTCGTACATCTCGAGGACTCAATAAGATACCGTGGAGTCAAATTATGGAACACGCATATTTATTTACTTGATGATTTTTTGTCTTTTTCTATACAAATTGAGACTCAGAAATGCGTTGATGTCAGAAAGATTTGTAGTGAATAGTGAATTGTCCTGATTTTGTTATATTGTCTACATACTGTATGTCCTGCTTTGCTCTATTTTTATGTTTTCAGTGTTTGTATGTGTATGTGTATGTGTAGCGTAATTAAATTATTAAGATGTTATATCTTAATTTAACCTCGGATTTAAGAAGGGGCACCACTTCCTGTTAAGGAAGAAAATAACTTTAATGGTATAAGTTAATTAATTAATCAGTCATTTTCATATCTTGCAAGAAGTAAGTTCTGGAGCTGAAGCTCTAAACTTCACAAACCAAAAACAAAACTAAAACTAAGAAGAAACTAAACTTCTGAGCTCAGTGTGAACTCTTATCAGTTGGCTGAGAGGAGGGGGGTCTGCAGGCAAAGAGGGGTGCCGCCCACGGGTGACTCCCATTCTGATCGGAGGACAATTGTTTAAACTAAACCGAGTTTACTCAATAAGATTAAGAATAAGAATCTAAACATCAAACGTCCCCATACATTCATTTCGATATTATTTCTATCAGATCTACGTTGATGTAGGTTCACGTCATATATTTAGACAAACATTTCTATCAGATTCATGTTGAGATGAAAATCACACCATCTGGGAACATCGTCAGTTAATCCCAGCCTGTAGGTGAACAAAAACATGTTATACAGTCAACATTCTTAATAAGACATATTAATAAAGTAGGAAAAGAAATTGGTGTCTTTAAATAACACGTTCTATAGCTAATATCAAAGAGTATGCTTTATAACACGTCTAAATGTATAATTATGAAGGTTACGTATTCATGGATATTCTAACACTAGATGGCAATAGCGCTCCACGTCAAATTCCTATTAAACATAATACAACTCTTATTCCTATTCTGAAGATCAGATTTTGAGTTTAAAAAGATGATTATAATACATTCAATGTGACAATTACAAATATCTAGATGAAGAAAGACATAAATGTTCATTTGATGCAGAATCAAACGCTGTGGTTTAATTCAGCTCTTCAGCAGTCCTTCAACAGATGGTCAATTTTAGGAGTTTGCAGAGACTGGTTTCGGTCACAGTTCATGTCTTTGGGGTTAATTCGTAGATAGCAGAGTGTTCTGTTTCCGCTCGATTGTTTATTCCAGGTGTTGTAAAAATTCATAATATCCTGTCTGAGAGGGAGACTTAAATCATTGATCAGTTCCTTTGTTTCTTGGTAAAATAAACCCAGATGTTAATCCACAGTCCTGAGTCCTGCAGGAAGAGAGGTTGTAAAATGTGTCTGCTGATAAATTTTCAATTGGGTAAATTTTATTTGCGATAGTAAATATTCTTACTTACTTACTGTTATTTTTTACTGTATTTTATTTTAACTTTGTTTAATCTCTTAAGGTGAGGGTTTGAGATAAGACCTCATGGGTTTCTACCTCACTTGCGCATGTGTTTTATTTTTTAATTTTCTTTTAGATTCTTCTTTCAAAAAATGTGCAAATAAACTAAACTAAACTACTGATGGTTGCAACCTTTTCAGTAAAATACGAGGCAAACATGTCTGGTGTGAACAGATCGGAGAGTGGAGGAGGAGGTGGTTGAAGCAGTGAGTTAAAAGCAGAAAACATTTTTCTTGTATCTGTGGCATTGCATATCTTGTTCTGATAATATGTTGTCTTGGCCGTTTTCAGGCTGGACAATGAGACAAGTCTTTGCTTATAGTCATTGAGGTCAGCGGACTGTTTGGATTTTTGCCATTTTCTCTCTGCTGACCTCAGCCCTGCTCTTTGCTCTCTTATGACTTCCGTGAGCCATGGGCTAGGGTGGGTTTTGTGAGCGGGTTTGGACACCAGAGGGCAGAGCTTGTTCAGAGACGAGGCTAGTGTGGAGCAGAGTGTGTCTGTAGCCTCGTCTGTAGAGAGTGTGTCTGTAGAGTGTGTTTGTAGAGAGTGTGTCTGTAGAGTGTGTCTGTAGCCTCGTCTGTTGAGAGTGCGGTAAAGACCTTTTGGGCAGGCATGGCAGCCATTACCTCGTTAGACAGCTGAGCTGGCTTGAGCGATCGCATGTTTTGGTGGTATGACACCATTTGTGGCTGTGCCTGAGGGAGTTCCGGCAGGAGATTGTGAATTGAATAAAGAAGTGGTCTGATAGATGTAGAGGGGTGACAGTCAGGTTTGCTGTTGAGCAGTTCCGAGTCAGGATTAAATCAAGAGTGTTGCCAGCTTTGTGGGTAGGAGGAGTTGGGACCTGCGTGAGGTCAAATGAGGATAGGAGAGCAAGGAAGTCTGTTGCCTGGGCTTTATCAGTGTGTACATTCATGTCTCCCATTACAATCAGTGGTGTTCCATCATCAGGGATTTCTGAGAGTAGCATGTCCAGTTCCACAACAAAATCATTCAGATTACACCCTGGTGGGCGGTAAATGATAGCAATGTACATTTTAATAGGAGCAGTAACCAAGATTGTGTGATATTCAAATGAGGAGTTGTTGCTCAGTGGGAAGAGTTTATTGAATTTCCAGGTATTAGAAATGAGGATACCTGTTCCACCTCCACGTCCAACAGAGCGGGGTGTGTGTGAGAACACTGTGTCAACAGAAAGAGCAGCTGGTGTATTTTCTGGGCGGATCCAGGTTTCAGTAAGGGCAAGTGCCTGAATGTCTGACATTTTTGCAAGTGCTTGGATGAATTCAGTTTTATTCACAGCAGATTGACAGTTCCAGAGGCCAAAAGTAAATGAAGGGTGGGTAGAAGAGGCTTTCTTAAGCAGAGACAAGTTGTTAAGATTTTATTCTCTATGACAGATGTGTCTTTTCCTGTTCCCATGAATGACAGAGATTTCTTTGTAGCACATATTGCATTTAGCAGATGACCAGAGAAAATAGGCAAAGCAGTAGTCGTGGATGCCCGGGCTCTGTGGCCACGCTGACGCGTCAGGCGCTTCCCAGTTTTCAGATCAGAGCTTGTTCTGCTGCAGTTTCGGATTCAGACTCTTTTAAACTTGGATTTTCGTGAAAATCCCGTCCCAGATTTTCAGCTCGCAATCAACAGAGGGTGTGACACACGTCAACTGCCTCTCCTGTTGACGCTCAGAGAATCTCCATCTCCATCAGAATCAGAATCAGAATCAGGATCAGAATCAGAATCAGAATCAGAATCAGAATCTGGGTTTATTGCCAAGTACATTTACACATAAAGAATTCACTTGGTGTATTGGTGCTAAACAATTAACAAGGAAATAAAGCAGAACTAACAACAACTTAAATAATACAGAATAAGAAGAAATTACAATATATAAATAGAATTAAAAATGTAAATATAAAATATAAAAAATAAAATCTGTCTTTGTAGGATGAATGATGTAACAGGCTGCTGGCACAACAAGTTCCTCTCACCTCGTATGAGAATCTGAAACAAAGGGATGGGATGCAGATGTTGGCCAGTCTGCCAGTTGTTTGTGACCATCTGTTCATGAATCCATCAAACAGTTAAAACCACTGTGAGGAGTTTAGATCTGCTTATAAAACAGACTGTAGCTGTTGATTCTACATTACCATCAAAAGCAAATGAGACAATCAGGAAGAACAAACAAATTACTTTATGTTTCTTTACAACAATCATTTCAAACTGTAAATCATTTTCATTACTCACAGCTTTAAAATGACCTTCTGTAAATGTACAGTACCATTACAGCATTTCTTGAAAAGTAAGTGATGAGTGTTTTTTTGTAAGAGAGAAAACAGTAAATAGAATAATCACATTAGCTTTTAATAATCAGTTCAATGACCAATGGAAAACATTCATCATAAAAACTTATACTGCTGTTCCCTAAATGCCTAATTTAATGCAAGAAAGCACAAAAAGTTGTGACAGTTATACCCTGAGCTCTGAGAAATCTTCAAATATTATCCTCACAGCAGTTTCATTAGCAGACACAAACTCGTCTCTTTAAAAATAAATGGCAGTACAAGTTAATACAAATATCTGACTGAAACATTCTTTATGAATACACCTTCAGTTTGATCAGATTCTTTGACACAGTAGCTGGATGTTCAATAAGTCGTATATTATTCCATTACACCACAAAGTTTGTCTAATGATTAAAAACAGTGTTTTTTTCTGTTGCTTGTCGTGTCTCTCATGTTACCTCAAAAGGTTTGAGCATGACATCAGAAACATTAGTGCTGTTAAACTAATAATTAAATAAACATTTCTCTTTTTTTAAAAACATTCATGAAGCATTATTAGTTGAAACATCTTTAAAAAAATACATGTAGGATTCAGTTAGTCACACACAAAACATTCATAATATTAATGAAGTTATTCATTTAAAAAAAAGGAAAGAAAGGTAACAACTAGTGCAAATGAAAAACTTGTTTTCTTTGAGATAATCTTCTGGTACTGTGGGCGTCTCTTCCTACAAAATATGTCAAAAAACAAACATGTAACATAAAGAGATAGAGGACTTACTTCTTCACTTTCTCTTGCCACATATTTTCTCCTAAGGCCTAAGCGATCACTCCATCTTTCTGTTGTTTGTCTTTATCCTCACTCATCGTCTGACTTTTCATCTTCTGGACCACCCTGATCCTCTTCTTTATCTTCATCATTTCCCCCCTCACCTTGATCTGCCTCTGCCTGCCCCCCCCTCTCACCTGAGTCCTGCCTGCTCTGCCCCTCATCTGCATGTGGAGTGTCTGAAGCCTTTTTTAATGTGACAGTGTTGCTGGTGTTCACTTCTGTTGAGTTGGCTAAATGCTGTTTCTCATCTATTTCTTCTCCATTACTCATTAAATTGGATGTTTCTTCAGCTGGAGGAACCAGTTTGACCGGTTTAGCTTCTTCTGTGGATTCTTCTTCCTTTGGCGTGGCAGATTCTTGCTCTTGTGATGTCGTATTTGAACCTTCCTCATGAGGAACACTGGACGACTTGTTCACAGAGGACTTTGTCTGATTAATTTCTGTTCTGTTGCGTACCTGATGGATCAGTTTGTGAGTCAGATTCATCTTGAGTGTCTTCATAGACCTCCTCTGAGTCAGACCCGTTCTTTTGACCCCCAGCAGGGTCCTTAGGGTCCTCATCTGGACCTCCCTCAGTCTTTGGGGGACTTGAGTTGGCAAGAGTAGGAGAGGTTTGATCTTTGAGTGGGACAGTCGATGCTTCCTCACTCATACCTAGATTCTTCTCTGGCTCTAAAATAAACATTACAAAGAATACAAAAGAGTTTAAAAAGTGCACCTGTCTGTTTAGGATTAGTAAAGGACTGAAATATTCAGAGACAGTCTTTTAGTTTGAATCAATGAGTCTTACTTCATGGAGGTTTCCTAAATGAGACACGGTCTGTGTGATGAGTTAGGTGTAACAAATAAAGTCCCTCCTCCAGTTTTTATCATGTGCTTTCATAAATGAACCATTTGTCTTTATTGTTGTTAAGAATAATCCAGAAGTAAATGAAAGTACTGTTGCATGCTTTGTTTTGTCTCTCAGAGGTTACAAAGTGAACCTTGTAGAAATACTCTAATCGTCTGTACTGTGTGTAAAGTTTGATAGAGCGAGCGTTCTAGCTTTCTGAATCTGATTGAAACAAACAGCAAGAGAAAACAAATACTTAAAGATACTAAACAGAACAGAGACAGTCTCAGACACTGGAGTCAATAAACCCAGTTAGGAACAATCTATTAAGAAATAATGAGTAGTACAGAAACAATAGATTGATACAGGAATTTTCTGATTGGTGGAAAATGAATCAACATGAATTTAATTCATGTTTTAAGTCATTTATAAGTAAAAACAACAACAACTATTAATTTGTTGTACCTTGTTAAATGTTAGGACTCTCTGCTTTTTGATTGTGGAAATGAAAATAAACATCAGCTGCAGCTGTTTGCAGAAATCTACTTCCCATTCAAAATTACCTGTTTTGTTTTGAGGCTGTTGAGGTTTTTTAGCCTTTTCTTCAAACTGTTCTTTCTTCTCTTTGACGAAACCTGATAAGAGAAAAGAGTCACAAGCAGCCAGCTTTATTCCTAGCCTCTCTTATATCGTGTCTCAGCTAACATTAAGAATGTGTGTTGTGGTGTTACCTTCTGGTGGCTTCTTATCTACAACAGGTTCTGGAGAGAAAAATATTCTTTAGATCAAAATAATTCATGACATGCAGTGAACTGAAATCAGATTAATCATGTTACTCCTTTCTGTACTGTTTAGAAATAAAATCACAATCAAACTATGAGCTAAATAAAATATACACACAGGTAACAGACATGGATGTAAGCTCTAGAGGGCAAAGTAAGAAAGAATGGTTTTACATTTCTCAAAAGGTGTGGGTGTTTTATTTCTTGAATTGTTAAATCAATGTGCTGTGATTGTTCAGTCATTTGGATAAGGTTAGGGTTGTTTCATAAAAATAACAGCAGAAGAAGGAAAGATGAAAACAATCAAGACATGTAAAGTTCTTCAATGATCAGAAATATTTCTTCTAAGAGCTTTAAAGAGAGAGAGAGAGATTTAAGCTTTAAAAACTGTTCAAACAAACACACTGAAGCACTACAAGCATTAATGAATTAACTTATCAGCAAATATGACAAATGTTTGATGGTTTGCAGCGACTTAAATGAGAGGACTTGTTGCCCTCATGGTTGTTATAATAAAATAAGCATTAGTTACAGCTCGCAGCTCATATTATTTTCTCCCCCGTTGAATTTACCTTGACCAGCCCGTCTGTCTATTTCACGTATCATCTTCATGATATTCCCTGAAAAGCAAAAACAAGGTAACTTAATTTGCTGTTCCTTTTTTAACAGTGTATTAATCATGATAAGTAATTGAATTATTAATTGAATTATAATTAGTGAAACTAATTCTTGAGCCTTTTTGCATTTATCTGACAGGACATGCGAATAGAGACAGGAAACTGTGGGAGGCGAGAGTAGAGGTCGGACCTGAACCCACAGCCTCAACCACCAGGCTATCGGCGTTCCAGTGATACCCATTCTTTTAAAATGAACAACTTTGTACTTTAAAGGAAACAGGCCCTAAAATAAAAATAAAAGAGCAAAACATATTGTTTTAAATTGAAAATGATAAAATGATATGAAATGTTCTTCTTTCAGGACTCACACTGTTAGCCAAGTTATAAGAGAAAGATATTATTTAGCTGAGTAAATCATTAAAAGCTGTAGTAGTTTTTAAAAGCAGTAATTAACGAGGCGCCGGTGGTTGGTGTGTGCGCCCCATGTGGGGAGGCTGTGGTCCTTCAGGCGGAGGGCCCGGGTTCAGGATGGACCTGTGGATCATTCCCCGCTCTCTCTCTCTCCCCGATTTCTGACTCTATCCACTGACCTTTCTCAAAATAAAGTCATTAAGCCTCAAAATAAACCTTTAACAAAAAGGAGTAATTAATATTGAGCAGCTTTTACCTTTTTCCAAGAGTAATTCAGTGTCTTCTTTGACCATGCTATCAGGGTGATTGGGGCTCATAGTATTATTGAGTCGCTGATCAAGAAGAGGACTGGTTTCACCTCCCTGAGCCTTCTTCTTATCTGAGCCTGAAACAGATCACAAACAATAAATTGTAGTTTTATGGGCAGAGAAGATAAAAGTGACGATCGATGAAAACTCTGAAATCATCCAATCGCTCAACAGAAACTATCACTTGAACCAAGCTCTGCATACCAGAGTATCCTCTCTGTTGTCAGGTGACCTGCAGATACAGACTATTTCACAGTTTTATATTCTAAATCAAATATTTATGAGTTTTAGATCTGTTAAAAAAAAGAAGGGAAGTCTCAGCCTGAAAACATAAAGTATCATACCTTCAGTCTGTTTCTCCTCATCATCCTGTTGTCCTTTAGAAAAACATGCTGGAAGCAAAGGAGAGAGGAGAGAGAGAGAAGACGATCAGTATGTTGTTAGTTTTAATACAATATGAAGATTTTCATTATTAATAAAAGATGATTGTGTTCAATAAGGCAAGTTTATTTATGTCACACATTTCAACAACAAGACGATTCAAAGTGCTTCAGACATCAAAAGCATCATGACAGAGGAAAGAAAAGAAACATTAAAATAGAACATTTAAAAATCACTGAAATTATTCAATCTGAAATTTTTTTCAAATAAAAATAATTCAAATGAAATTAACTGAAATAACAGGACACAATAGGTCATGGTGAATTTGAAGCTTGATCCAAAATCAGCTGGACTGGTGGAAGATCTGGAAGACGTTCTGAAGACGTTCAAGATTTTCTTTTATTACTTTATAAGGCATTACATGGCCTTGTACCAGACTACCTATCAGATATGATTTTAGTTTATGAACCAGTACGACCCCTCAGATCCTCCACTTCCTCTCTCTTAGTTGTTCCACAGAGCAGGACAAAAAGCTTTCAGCTGTTACGCTCTGAGACTGTGGAACGACCTTCCTGAGGGTCTGAGAGGAGAATATTGAGATTTTTAAACGCAGTCTGAAAACTCATTTATTCAGTCCGACTTTTATATCGTGTTTTATATCAATTCAAATCTTAACATTACTGTATTGTCTTTTTTTATCCTACTACAATTTTAAATATTCTTCTCCTATGTATTAATTTTAATATCTTGTTGCTTTTATGTGTCGTATTTAATTTTTTAATTTTTATATTTTTTTAATTCTTATTGGTGTGCATTAGTCTCTCAGTGATTTTATAAACTACTTTTTTGTCAATAACTTTTCGGCACTCTTGTAAAGCACTTTGAACTGCAATTTAATTTGTCTGAAAGGATCTATATAAATAAATAAAAAAAAGAAAAGATCTTCAACCAGTCCAGTTGATTTTGAATGTAGCTTCAAATGTACCATGACCTGGATGACTGAGAACCTACTCAGACAATGGGGAACATTCTTGTCTTTCTTCACAAACTACCTTTCCTCTTTGAAAACGTATTGAGCGCTGAACTGTTCCACATCGCTTTCTGAATACCTGGACCTCATAAACATACATGTTACTTATCAGGTCGTTCTCTTTAGAATCTACATCCTGAGAAATGTTTTCAGTATCATTTTTTCTAATGAAAGTGTAATTTCTTTCTACTTTACCTTTTTGTCTCTTTTTGCAGAAGAAGATGATCAACACGAGTACGATTAAACCAACGACAGCCAGACTGACAGCCACAGCTACAGATGAATTATCTTCAGAAACACAAGAGTCAAAAGTTAGAGGGACGTAGATCACTCATCACCAAAACAACTTACTGTAGAACTGTAACAACAGGAGAATATAGAGTCTCTCTTTTACAACAACCAAAACATTGATTTATTTATTAACAACTTTGAATCCTTGAGTCAAAGGGATCTTAAGGGCTTCTGGGTCCTCTGCACCCTCAGCCTGGAATCTGTTACAGAATGACTTAAAGCTCAAGGAGCTGGAGTCCTTAAATGTTTTTAAATCTAAAATGAAAGACATGGAAGCAGATTCTGCAGGATGTCGATGTTTTAGCTCGGCTGTTTGAACGACTGATTCCCAGATATGACTCATAGATGGTTCTATTTTAATCCAAAATGTTGTGTTTTGTAAACTGTAATTTGTCTCTCTTTGTGTTTCCGTCTGTAACTTTGTGTTTTTGCTGCTGCCTGTCTCGGCTCGGTCTCAGTGAAAAAGAGGTTTTTAATCTCAATGGGACCAACCTGGTTAAATAAAGGTTCAATAAAATATATAAATATATATATTTTCATTCAACTTCCTGTCAAACTGTGGTGAGAAATAGTGTAACTTGGCAACAAAGCTTCAAGTTTTCTAAAAGAACGTTCACTTCAAAATGACCAAATCAAAAACCTGAACGTCCAGTTATACATGAGATCATACCGTGATAACAATCCTTTGCTGTGAATGTCGCCGTCTCACTGCTCACAGGGTTGCTGACTGAACAGCTGTATTCTTTGTTATCTCGTTCGTCTCCCAGAGAAATATTAAACTTGTGTCCCGGTTGTGATTTTCCCCGTGCTCTCCACTTAAACTTCATCATGGACTCAGGTGGGGTGGGGTCTGCAGAGCACAGCAGCGTCGCCCGGACCTCAGAAACATCGGAGCCACCGTCTTTGTTTATCTCACAAGATATGGTCGGCATGGCAACCTTGTCTTGAAGAAACATGTAAAAAAATAAAGAAATAAATGAATACATACTGAAATCATTGTAGTATGTTACGTATGTATCGGATGCTGATATGATATGAGCTCATCACATCACTATTGGTATCGACTAATTTTATCTCTGATATGAGCCAATTTAACGAGGTTTCTTCAATTTAAGTTTATTTATGTTTTACATAGTTTTTAATAGTAATTGTTCATTTCTAAGTATAAATTAGTGTTTAAAGGCTTTATATGTGATGTTTTGATCCAGCAGATGTCGCCCTTGAGCAAATTATTTCGATATATCGGCCCCAAAAATCCCATATGTGTCGGGTCCTGGTTTGTATACAAAGAAACATAAAATCTGTGCAAACAAGTGAATAATATGATAACATAATGTCGGGTATAAAGGGCATACACTGCTTATCAGAACGGGTTTGAGGTCAAACATCAGTGTGTCTGATGAATAAAGTATTGTTACAGCATGATTAACATCGACTTCTTTAGAGGGAAGAATGCTGTCATGTTAAAGAAATCTAACTGTGGCTCGTTGTTTAGAACACACACAAAAGTACACAGTCTATAAAGATATCCCCACAACAGCCATGAAACCTGTGGTGAAAGGTTTTATAACAGGTCTGAAGTTTATCATTGGTAATATTCTACATAAAGCAGATTTTACAGCCCAACAGTGTGACTCACTGAATCTGTATCAGCCTTGCACATCCATTCAGTTCAGCTTCTGAGGGCTTAAAGCCACAAAGTTTAAAACTGATTTCTGGAAAAATAACTCATCTTCTGATGTTTCAGCTTTTCTTCACAGCTTCAGCAGTTTCTTTAGATTTCTCTGTTGTGTGCCTGATTCTACAATTCATTCACAAGATGCTTCTGTCCAAAGCGACGTACATTAAGGAGTTTTTTTCCAGCTAGCTAGAACTCTGTTTCTGAGCCAATGCCGTGTCCACTACAGAATCTGTTTTTAAAGCAGGGCTGTCTCAGGGACACACAGTTTGTTTTGTTGGCCTTGTCCTCCACTTACAGATATTTCTTTAGATTCTCTGAATCTTTTTATAAGATGTAAAGTTTGCAGACAATGAACGCCCCACATTCATTTCAATTGTCAGTAAAAACAACAACAAGATTCTAATTGTTTCACCTCAGCACAGACTTTCACAGACGCCCTTCACATCTTTTTTTTAAACCATCATGTTACTAACCTGTAGCCAGTTCACCTTCTAAACTTTGACATGTTCCATCAGCTTCTGTGCTACTGCACCAACTTTCTTTTTAAACATTTTGGAATCAAATTCAATTCAAAATCAAAAAAAGTTGAATATTTTTGTGAAAAATTTCGGCCTCAAAAAATGTTGAAAATGTTCATGAAAAAAACTTTGGTTTCCAAAAAGTTGGACATTTTCAAAAACATATTTTTGCTTCAAAAAAGTAGAAATTTTTTGTGAAAATTAAACAATGTCATTTCACAGTTTCAACATTTAGCAGGTTGTCTTTGTGCTATTTTCAATTCCATACGGGGTTTCAATGTTTCAAATCATCCCTTTCTGTTTCTATTTACATTTTACTCTGAGGTTTTACTTTTAACCCTCTTCCAGCTGTAGGATGGATTGATTATAATCTGTGTGTTCAATGTTAAATTTACCTATGACCTCCAGTTTGAATTGTGACAGATAGAAAATGTTGTCGATGTCGACTTCCACTTCATAGAGTCCTCTGTCTTCAAACTTGAGGCCGGTGATTTCGAGCTCTGCCGAGACCCAGTCGAGAGTGATCCTGTTTTTGTACGCTCCGTACACCTTCTGCTCTCTGCTGTCAAACTCCACCACTTTGTTTCCGTTATGTTTCCACAGAATTGAATTTGGTTGTCCAGAAAAGGTCGGCTTCAAGCTCTCCCAATATGTCCCCTTGAGAACATATTTTGTAGGCGGTTCAGCACCTAGAACTGATCATAGAGAGGTATGAGAATATGAAGCATGTGTCTTTGTAAGGGTTCTGCATATTTAAAACAACTCTAATGAAACGTGTTTATAGAATTTAGAGACCGTTAATCCTGTTTAGTACTCGAGCATTATTATCTGTTATTAATATATTGTACTCATAATAAATGT